CCAAAACCATATGGGAAATGATTCGGAATATCACTGGGAGGTATGCTTCCCATCCCCTTTCCATCTTGCTCTCCAATGGCCAGGAAGTTGCTGATGTCCAGAACATTACTGATGCTCTCAGCCACAGCTTTTCTATGCATTTAGCACTTCTATTTCTTCCCTTGCCTTCTTGGCCATCAAGTCTCGGGCAGAGCGATCACCCCTTTCCTTTCGGGATGATCGTCTCTACGACTATAATTGCCCATTTACATTGATGGAACTCAAACTTGCTCTTCATCGGTCGGACCTGATGATGTTCATTATGGGATGCTGCGGCATCTATCTCCTGCCTCTTGCTATTCTTCTGGTTATTTTTAACCGGATCTGGCAGGAGCATGTTTTTCCTGATTCTTGACACCAGGCTATTGTTCTCCCTTTCTCTAAATCTGGGAAGGATCCCAAGATTCCTTCTCATTATCATCATATCGCTTTGACTAGTTGTCTTTGTAAGGTCTTAGAGAGGATGGTTAACGCTCATCTTGTTTGGTTCCTCGAATTGAACGCGCTCCTCTCGCCCACCCAATGTGGGTTCTGTCAACAGCGCTTCACGGTGGACCATCTGATTCAACTTGAAATAGGCTCTATGTTGACGACTTCCACATCTCGTGTCAGTCATCAAACATGAGGTTTATTGAGCGGCAGCTTCAGACTGCCCTCAATCGCTTGTTGACGTGGACCACTGCAAACAGTTTTACATTTTCTTTTTCCAAAACCGTTTGCATGCATTTTTGCTGCCATCTGGGTCTCCACCCCGATCCCATGCTCTGTCTCGGCAATGTTGTTATTCGTGTGGTCCTTGAGGCAAAGTTCTTGGGGGCTTATCTTTGACTGTAAGCTTACCTTCATTCCACACATCAAGCAGCTACGTTTCAAGTGTGCAAGGGCTCTGAACATTCTCTGTTTCCTCTCTTCCACCTCTTGGGGAGTGGATCGGTGTTCTATGCTCAGGATCTTTCGTGCCCTGATTTGATCCAAACTGGACTCTGGGTCTTTGGTTCTGCCAGGACCTAGGCCTTGAAGATGCTGGACCCTATTCACCATCTGGGGCTTAGGCTCTGTACTGGGTTTTTTCGCACTTCTCCAGTCCAGATTTTGTACACTGAGTCCCACAAACCTCCTCTTCACCTCCATTGTTTGCAACTTTCTCTACAGTATGCTACCAAGCTTGATTGGAAGTAACATCTTCTTTTTGCTGAACATCTTTCAAACCATTCTTTTCTTCCTATTTACATGGATGGTTCGAAATTGGGTGACTCTGTAGGCTCTGCCATGCTGTGGCTCGGTAGTTGCTTGCAGGCTCCATTCTAGAGTTTCTGTGTTCACTGCCGAGTTGTATGCTATTTCTCTTGCCTTGGATCATGTAGAAGCTATGCAGTACAGTGATTGTACTATTTACACTGATTCTCTTAGCTCTCTACTGGCCCTGAAATCACTTAATGTTAGTTCTCACCCTGTTCTTGCCAATATTCAACAATGACTGGCCCATTTTTTCTATCTTCTGTTTCCATTTAGTTTTTCTGGATACCTGGCCACGTCAGTATTCATGGGAACGAGCTCACTGACACTGCAGCTAAATCCATCTGCTCTGGCGCCGTCACAGCCATGACTGTCCCATACATTGACTACGGTCCTGTCTTCAAGGCACTGCTTCATGCCAGTTGGCAATCGACTTGGGGTGAGCAAAGTCATAACAAGCTTTTTCAGATCAAACCTTCTGTTGCTCTTTGGCCGTCTTGCTTCCATAAAGATCAGAAGGAGGAAGTTGTTCTGGCAAGGCTATGCATTGGTCACAGTTTTTTAATTCAACATTTTCTTTTCTCTGGTATTGACACAGTGATGTGTAGCCTTTGTGACACTCAAGTCATAATAGCCCACATTTTACTGTCGTGCTGTTGTTATGACCATGAACAGTGGCACCATTTTAGACATATTTTGTAAAGGTTTACCCCTGATGTTGGACAGTGTCATTGGCAATGATGACACTGTTCAACTTGATTGTATTTTTAATTGTATATAAATCTTTTATCTGAATTTTAGACATATTTTGGTTTTAACTCGCTGTATTTTTACATTTTATTACAATTTACTTTTACTGTTTTTACTGGTTGTTTGTCACAGATAACCTAGTTGCTTTGCACCATAAAACACCAATCAACCAAGCAACCAACCAGCTGCCAAGTAGCGACTAACAATACGAAGAATTAAATTGTGGAAGAATGCTATAAGTTCTTCAAATACCTATAGAATGATAGGTTTCTTTTTCGTGAGTGTAAAACACTTAAATACACCATTTTGATATAATATGATAGCTTAAAATGTTAGCTTTCTATTGGTTATAAACAATGTAATATAATACATCATTTGATAGTTTAAAACATTTGCTTTCTATTGGTTATAAACAATGTAATATAATACATCATTTGATAGTTTAAAACATTAGCTTTCTATTGGTTATAAACAATGTAATATAATACATCATTTGATAGTTTAAAACATTAGCTTTCTATTGGTTATAAACAATGTAATATAATACATGTAGAGAGATGAATTTACAATATGTGAAAGAGAAGATGTGGCAAGTGGGTCTGATTTTCTAGATAACATTAAAGGTTCTTAAGATCAGACTTTAGTAATACCTATATGATAAGGAATAATTTACATTAAATTATGTAACAAAATGAAACAAAATAACTCTCAGAGGAGTTATATATAAATTAGTGAAGACCTAGAGAACAAATGTTGCAGTTCTCATACTAGGGAAGATTGAAAATTTTTTTTAAATATTTCCTTTTAAAATTATGAGCTTAAAAATTGCATGATATTACAATTTGATTCTTTCGTTATGTTTTGATGCCAAGTTATGAATCTACTAAGTTATGATCTATTAAGAGTTATTGAATTATATTAGACAGGATTGATTTGAAGTTTATAGATCTGTGTTTGGTTTGTCTTTTGTTACTTCTACCTGGGAATTATTATGTGAAAGTTTTAATGTGATAAAATGACAACAAAACAGTTAAATAATGTTAAGATTAAGTTTGCCTCAAAATGAATGGGGAGAACAGTACTTGTTTCTATAAAATGAAACATTATGAAACTTTCTAACTGACCAATGTTTGTTTGCTTTTTCATGTTCAGAGAATGTTCTGCTGTCATTTATTACCATAAATGTGACTTTCCTGAACACTACCAGCTTATAGAATGTATGACTTGAATAATCCCAAGTCTCCAATCCTTTAATTTAACATGTTGAAGTCAGTAATCAAACAGCTTCTAATCACAGGAATGATACATAAACTTGTTAAATATTATATAGATAAACATTTTAGTTTAGTCTAAATATTGACTTTTATAAACTTTTATGTAACACATACAGAACATTTTAACAGGTGTTAATTAACATGTCTAACATTTAATTCAGGAAGTTACTGGCTGAAAGTAGTGTTTGTTGTTCTGACATTGTGCCATAATATTTCTACAAGCAAATTTAGACTTTATTTATGAAATAGATATTTTAGTTTAGTCCAAATCTTGGCATTTATAAATATTTATTTAACACACAAAGCAATATATAGTTTGTTTATTATTAACTAATTTTTAACATCATTTTATCTATTTTAGATATAAAGACCAGTGTGAACATCTGTAGTGGAAGTCAGGTTCCCGGTTATGTTATAGAACAAGATTACATTACAGAAGACATAATATCACCAAACAACAATATTAGTGGAGAAACAAGGTTAAGTGAAAATAACCTAAAAACATTTAATATACATCAGAGTGATGATAAACTATACAGTTGTGGAAAACCATTTGATAACCTAACACAACAAAAGAGGATGCACTCTGGAGAGAAACCATATCATTGTACAGTTTGTGGAAGACATTTTAATAGAAATAGTCACTTAAAACGACATCAAGGAATACACACTGGGGAGAAACCTTACAGTTGTACAGTGTGTGGAAAACATTTTGGTGCAAATAGTTACTTAAAAAAACATCAAAAAATACATACTGGGGAAAAACCTTACAGTTGTGAAATTTGTGAAAAACAGTTGGGAACAAACAGTGAATTAAAAAGACATCAAAGAAAACACACTGGTGAGAAACCTTACAGTTGTATAGTGTGTGCTAAACAATTTATATCAAGTGGTAACTTAAATAAACATCATAGAATACACACTGGTGAGAAACCTTACTGTTGTGCAGATTGTGGAAAACAGTTTGGAACAAACAGTGAATTAAAAAGACATCAAAGAATACACACTGGTGAGAAACCTCACAGTTGTACATATTGTGAAGAACAGTTTCGAACAAACAATGAATTAAAAAGACATCAAAGAATACATACTGGTGAGAAACTTTACAGTTGTGTAGTGTGTGCTGAACAATTTATATCAAGTGGTAACTTAAAAAAACATCAAAGAATACACACTGGTGAGAAACCTTACAGTTGTGGAGTGTGTGGAAAACAGTTTCGAACAAACAGTGAATTAAAAAGACATCATAAAATACACACTGGTGAGAAACCTTACAGTTGTGCAATGTATGCTAAACAAGTTATATCAAGCTGTAAGGTAACGTCAAAGAATACACACTGGTGAAAAACCTTAAAGTTGTACAGTGTGTAGAAAATATATTGGTAAAAAGGGTGATTTAAAAATACATTAAGTAACACACACTAGTGAGAAATTACAGTTATATAATGTGTGTAAAACAGTATCTTTCAACCTGTAACTTACAAAAACATCACACTGGGTAGAAACCTTATAGTTCTAAAGAACTATTGAAAAATAGTTACTTAAAATATATATATAGATAGAAGAATACACAGCTGGGAGAAACTACTTTTGTGTAAGCTCGAATACCTCAACAGTAAGTCTGAGATCTGATAGTGCTAAAAATTGGGTTTTGATATGAATGGTTTACACAGCACAGGTAGCCTATTGTTTTACTTTATAACATATTGTATAACATTAAAAGCTGTCCTATTCAGTAAATAAACTATAGTCTGAAAAAGAAACTGAAAGCCAGTCCTTATGATTGAAATATTTAGATCCCTTGTAGCTGAAGATCACTGTACTGATATTTACCTTCATGTTTCCTAGTTTTACCATTAAACAGAAAAAGATGATGCATCAACCCTATCAATTACTTTAACAACCTTGTACACTTTATAATTTATTGAAACAACTTGGATCAAACAATTAACTGAAGAGACACAAAAAAAAACATACTGATGAGAACCCTTATAATTGTTCACTTTGTGGAAAACAACTTGGATCAAACAATTAACTGAAGAGTCACCAAAGAAAACATACTGGTGAGAACCCTTATAATTGTTCACTTTGTGGAAAACAACTTGGATCAAACAGTTAATTA